AAAAGTCACCTTTTATAAAGTATAGTCTTAGATTTTCTTTCAATATATTAAACTCATTTAGCATAAATTGTCAAATTTGTACTAAGCAGAGAAAATGAGCAGTTAGAGTAACGAAGAAATGACAAATTTTATACATTTTATTATGATGATACATTGCTTATGGCCCTATACAGCCACTATCATTCGAGAAAGGCACACACGAGCGGCAAAATCGCTGAACACTGCTAGTTCTGACCTGGGTTCGATTCCAGGCGAACGCGCTGGCTGCATGGTTGTTTTCGTAGTTTTCCCTGTGCACAACGTGTATACGAGCTAATTTCCCCTAGAAAGCCCTCCACAAAGGCAACCCTTCCCTTAGGTAGATAACCCTGTGTGCATGGCAACTAAACTAAATCAAACCAAACGTTCGAGAAAGGCATTTCTGTGCGGGGCTATTAGTTAGATAGTTATAATACACACAAAACTACATTTTTCTTAAAATAGCCTATCTATTTTTGTGCATAAAAATTTTTAATTGTCTCGCGTAGTCATTTATTTATTTGCTGAGGAAAGGCTAATTTCATGTAAAATCTAAAAACTCATTTTCTCTTATAAAATGTACATCTTTAATGAATAATGACATGAATTTCTTAAAATTTTTTTTACCAGTTGATGTATATTCCACTTAAATATCATAAAGAAAGAGACACAAAAATTTTTAATTTGGCAATTTTTCTTTTTTTTTCTTTTTTATATTTAACCTGCAATGAATTTAAATGCAACACTTTAAAAAATAATAATAATCCTCTGCAGATCGTAATGCTGAAGTGGGTGAATAAAAATGATAGATTTTTATTCTTCATTATAGCTACCCGAAAATGCGATATTAGAAAGGCAGAAAACGCACAGTCTTTAAAAAGACTCACGGATCTCAGCTCATACGCTGTGCACAAAATGTTCTGGACTTTCTTGGTCAAGCGAAAATTCTTTTTGAGTTAAAACTCTTAATGTGTAATGTGTTCCTTCCTTTCATAAAGATATCTTTGGTCAGGTAAAAATCGCAAATTAGAATCGATTGAAAATTCCATTGGTTTTTCTGCGCGCAAATTTTACTATATTTCCCGAAAAGAAATAAAATGACAACAGTTTCCCTGATTCAGTCATGCGAATCCTCATTCATTGGAACAAGAAAGAAGTAAAAGAAGGGGAAAACGAAACAAAATAGATCGTGGGAAACGTTCAGAAGAATGATGCGACCACTCCCCAAATTTTCCTTTCGGTGACGACCACGACCGCCCTGTCGCCAATAACCTGAACTAAACGAACGATCACCCCCGGGTGTGCCAACGAACGGAGATGGAAGGGTAGCTAGAGAAAAAGCGTGAACGAACTCGAAGATTTCCCGCTTAGAATTATAGAAAGGAGGAAAAGAGAATCGGTCAATCCTTCTATGAATAGCAGCGTTTTCTTGCCGATGACCTGGCGATCAATGACCCCCCGATTATTAGAGCAAAAGTTGCCCCATTTAATACTGGGAGTTGTCTCTTCTATGCATAAATGCCTTTAACAAAATTTTACAATTTCACCAAACATCAATCGAAGTTGTTCCAAGGGGAGTGAAATATAATTTTTCTTTGTAGTTTTCACTTACTTCAATAGCGAAAGAAATAAAAGTTGCGTCGGATTTATACACATTTGACAACAACGGAAGTATTAGGATGGTATATTGCCAATGACCTTGCTGGTTACATATGCCAATACTAATTAGCATTCATTAAGAAAATTCATTTCTATAAGCAATTTTTAATGTGCTCGAAATTCATTCCAAATGAGAGCATTTTGTACTTACAAATAAATGATTCATTCATTGCATAACATTTATTTACTTAATCATGTGTATCTCAGTTGAATTCTTAATATTTACAGAAAATGTTATTGTTAATATTTACAAGTAACTAATGTTTTAAGCATTTTTTAAAGATAATCGTAAAGCTGAATGCGAGATTCTTAGAATAGCTTCAATTTTGCTGTTAAAATATAGAAAATTTGATACGTATTCTAATGTAGTTTTGATAGACTTAGTTTCATTTCATACTGAAAGCAACGATAATAGCATCATATACATTTAATTTTAAGTGAAAAAAATTCGAAATCGCACACGTTGATGAACAGTCGCTAATTAAATTTCTGGGAATTAAACATACTTCCAGTAGAGATAATTTAAAAGTTTACCTTCCTTCAAAATAACCAAGAATTTGTGAATATCTAAAGTGTACACGAAAGTGAAGATACGGCATGCTAGACAGATGCAAGTAAAACGGTGGAATAAGAGTCTGTGAAATAACCACATCCTTTAAAATTAATCATATTTTTTAAATTAACATTATTAAATAAAAAAAGGAAAATAAAGTATAATACAATTTTAAAAGGTAAATTAAATAAAAAAAAAATAAAATTTAGCTGTTTGGAACAATTTTAATAAGTTATAATTTGGAGTAGAGTATTTGCGCGTGAAGTATTTTGAAGCTTTCAGTTACTGAGATCCTAAGCAAATACATATGTAAAAATTTTAATTCCCCATCAAACACGTTGCTCTTTAACACAAATGATTCGATCTCTGCTGGAGGCTCTTATACTTAAATATTTCATTCAAAGTGCTAAAAAGGATTAAATAAGCTTTTTTTATTTAATCAGAATCCGTCTCAGCTCGTGGTGATGTAACTAAACAGAACAGATAATTTCAATTTAAAACATAGAATAGTAACTTTACCGGAGCTAAATCAAAGTTACTTGTTCAGTAACTTTACCGAAGCGTCAAAATCAAGGTTTCGGGAGCGACATAACGCAAAGCCAAAAAATTACAACTATCAGAGCTGGCAGAAACTAAACGTAGTGTGCACAGACAGCTATAAACACGCTCTGTCTTAAACTCTAAGAAACATCAATTTAAATATTGACTATATCATTTGCATTCTGGTGAGGAAACGAAAGGAAGTTAAAGTACAGATCCAAATCATAATAACGGGTTCGTTAAAAATGATAACCTTACAAACTAATGCAATTTTAAATCCAAAATATATCTCTAAGGATAGGTTAAATGTTATTTTGTGCAATAAAATTGCGTCTGCGGTTAAAATGATCCCTGAGCTTTGTCTTTAGAAAATGTTTCTTAGACTCTAATATTTAATAAATGTGAGGTATTTTTACAATTAATATATCATAAAATCTTGTGATTTTGTAAATTTGCTGTAATTATAAATATGACTGAAAAACTGATATACTGTGTAATTAAAACTGAATATAGATATTTTATGCAATTTGCCTCTAGTCTTCTTCAGTTACTTAAATAATGAACAGTTATCCAGTATGTGCGTAACGGACTATGCTATATGCGTAACGGTATGCTATATGGTAACGTATGTGCGTAACGGACTAAGATATATAAGTACAAGAACAGAGAGAAAATAGGGTTTCAGAACAATGCTAAGCCTATCAAGATGGTCAACTTCTTTGCATACATTTACTACCTTTAATGGAGCAACATCTAAGACAATAATTATTACAACACATATTTTTATCAGCAATCTATCACAAAGTATTGGTAATCTATCAGAAAAAAAAGCTACTAAAAAAATTACATTATTATTTTAGATCAGCATCCGGATAAATTCGTAAAATTCGCATCCTCTTAATGACGAATTGTATCACAAAAGGCTATGTGTGACCTTGATTTGGATTTTGCACTTTTTATTGTTAGAAAGATAATGAAGGTTATGAAATTACTCTTTGCATTAATGGCAGGCATGATCGCCAGCTGAAGATCAGAAAGGAATTAAGGTTAAACTCTTTTCCCACCAGGTGCATATATATCCTGAAAGATGAGAAGACAAAGAAAATAATTCTTAATAGAGCAAGAGCTAGCCCCAGGTAGTGGATGTTGAAGCTGTTTTTACATCGTTAAAATCATTTCAAACCTTTTTATTCTATGCCGAGAAACACCTGCGTTAATGGATTTTCAAGGATTCTCCCAATCATTCTTCACGCATCGTTGATACGAGATATAGAACATTTCGAGAGAGCATCGATCTGAATTTTTGAATAGAACTTGACATACATTCGAAGTGAAATAGAAGAACATAATCAAATTATTTCGGAAGAATACTTTACTACTTATGCCGGTACTTATCTCGAGGACAAGCGTTCAAAGATTGAAATACTTCACTTGGATAAAATGGCTTTAAAAACAGATAATATTATAGTTTCATAATTGTACTTTCAGCTTGTATTTTAATCTGCTTTGTAAACGAATATACAATGTTCGCTAAATAGCTGATAATTAATGAATTACCTACTTTTTATTAATTTAACGATCTCTTTTTCTCCAATATTTGTTAAACAAATCAGCAGCAGATGCAACAAAAATTCCGTTCAAATTATCGTAATGCCTTTCAAAACGGACTCCTAATTATTTATAAAAAACAGACATTTAAACAAGTCATTGTTGAAAGCATTTTGTGTTACTTATATAATATAGTTGCATATTTTGTTCACTTATTGATGTTTTTATCATTTTTTCAATTCAATGAAAATTATGCTTCGAATTTTTTTAAAAGAAACTCGTGTCATATTTTTATTTCCCAACGATCCACTGGTAGTTGAAAATCTAAATTCAACGATGTATGGAATTCCTTTTTTTAATATTATGTATATTTCGAACACATCATTTGACTGACGAAATTATGTTTAAGAACAGATAATTACCAATATTTTATATTTATGTTTTTTAGTTACCAGATTCATAATCTTTGTACTAAGTAATCACACTGCAGAACAGTACATACGTTTTTTTAGAATATTAAAAAATCATAGGTGTCCTTTCACTACTTCATGACATTTTGAGATTTTGAACAATTCCAATTAACTGTTTCCATTTAATTCAGATAATGGGTTCAGATTTTGCTTAAAGTTCTTTGTTATCTTTCTCAATAACTAATAATTTTTTTCTCTTTTTTGATATCTAGAAATTTTCATCCTTTGACGATGTCTCTTTCCGCATCCAGAGTATCCGGACACAAGTCCAGAAGTTTCACGCTCTTTACCCTCTCCATATTAGTTCTGACGGGATTAGTGATCCAGCAAGTCGAAGCCGGTATAGGAAATTTGCTCGGACTTGGCGGCAAAGGCTTCGGGAGCAAAAAGACATCAGAGATGTTAGTGGCTGCTTCAATCTTAGCTTCCCTCATCACTAAGCACAAAGAATCCCAGAATCAAAACAAGCAAAGAGCACCAATGCACATGCCTATCCCAGTTCCTCCCTATGGCGGATATGCTGCAGGTAGCTCTCCATACGGATCCTATGGTGCTGCTGGATATGGTGGTGGACTTGGATCCTCTCTATATGGAGGATATCCAGGTCTCGCATCAGCTTATGGAGGTTTCGCAAGCCCTGCAGGTTACGGTGGTGGATATGGTGGTTACCCCAGCTATTAAAAAGAGTTATATATAAGACGTCTTATTCACTCATAAGCCCTAGTCTGCCAATGTAATGAGCCAGGGATGAAGATCTGGACGATACCTCATGGACCATACCTCGTACAAAACTAGCCAGATAATCTGTTCTATGTGCTTGGAAATAAATGTCATAGTAACCATGTGAATAGCAATATTAGTGCCCAAATTTGCATTATACCTACTGTTTATGTTGGTTTGCTTTATTTGATTATGGCAAAGCAAGCGAGGACTATCTGTTTAGTTCCTTAACATTAATGTTGCCTTTACTGATTCCTTTAACACCTGTAACTAGATCATTTGAATAGTCATCATTTAACTGATTATTTCCCATTTACCGCAGTGCTTCAGGGAAAGTAAGTTTGGTTAGCTTTTAAATCAGCTTCAGGCAAGTGATTTGAGCAAGCTATCTTGCATCGACTGCCATTGCGTCAATACGTTGTATGAGCAGTTAAGTGGTTTAAGTTACAGAGGTCATTGGTGAGCTCGAAAATTAATTTATCTATCCACTTTTATAGTTAAGCCAGTTTCATTGTTATATCCAGGAGTTGAATTGCTTACAAGATAAACGCTTTTTTACATGTAAAAATATTCACAAAACTATGAACTAGCTTTCAACAATAAATACTAAACTGTCTTCCATAACGTTTTCTCACTCAGTACTGCAATAGCGAAGAAAAATAAATAAATATCTCTGCCTTACATTTATTTCTAAGCACATCATTCTTTTTCTCAGGAAATAATGTCCCATTAAAAGGAGTGTTTATGCACTACGTTATAAATTAAATGGGTCTGCTGAGGCACGATTTCTGAAGTGCGAACATCTCGTCCAGTGACACATCCCTGAATGGAGTCTCGAAAAGAGAACCAGACCCCTGTAAATAGCCCCCCAGGAACTGTTCGAAATATTTTTTTTCTTTTTTTACAGATATCAGTATATATTATCCTGTTATCGAGTGAAGAACCTCGGAGAGACGGTCCCACTCATATAGCTGTGCATATTATGCTGGGCCCGGCTGTCACGTCCCCGTGGTCATGTGGATTGTGTCGTACCACGCTTTCATACTCATGTATTAGAGCATATATAGATTCATAATAAAAAGGTTTATAAAATTTTATGTGTTTGTATATTTACTTATTTTTTATCACTTTTGAATTTGGGATTGTGTGACAGGCAGTATAAAAGAACACTATCAATGCGAGCTATTTTTGGCGTAAACAATACGGGAAGCACTAACTTTGGATATGTCATGGAAAATAATTTAGGCAATCAAAAATGTACCTAAAGCAAAATAATATAACTTCATTAGATTTACGTAACTATTTCACTGAAACTAATAAATGATTTTTAACTCGTAATATGTGCTAGCACTTAAGCAGCAAGACCGTTTCATTGATTGATTCAGAAAGTGTACAGTCATCTCCGCAACGAGGCAAACCGAGTAACTATTTTGGGGTAAACATTATGTATAAACACTAACTGTGGATACGTCATTTCAAATACTTTAGTCAATTACAAATATACCTAAAACAAAATAATATACTTCACTATATTTACATATCTATTTTACTGAACTTAATAAATTACTTTTAACTCGTAATATTTACTAGCAATCACACAGCAAGACCGTTTCATTGATTGATTCAGAAAGTGTACCGTCATCTCTGCAATGAAACAAACTGAGAAAACTGAGCTTTTTGCAATTGTATCTTACCATGAACAGTAAAAAAATAGTAAAAGATTTTCCATTTAACATAAAAATCTGAAACATAAGTATCCAGTTTTAGAAGTCCTCTTTTCGGATTTAGACATAATATGTAATCAAAGGTTTTCGTTAAACAGCAAAAATTGACTTAGTTTTTGTAAATAGTTACCAGAATCATTCTTCGACGTTTATGTTTTTGATAACTTAATAATTTCTACATAATTATTTTTGTATGAGATTTTAAAGGATATGACTCACTAATTTAAGATTTGAAATAATGACTCGAATGCATTTAATTTCATGAATTCTGCGTACAATATATTGAGATTACATCTTTTCTTTCTAAAATACGCATTTGGCACATGAAGAATAAAAAAAAAAGGAAGAAAATTTCACATGAATGTATTGGTAATGACATATTGTCATACTCAATGAATAGGGATATTTTTATCAACACATAGACTACACGAAATTTTGGTTTAGAAGTAATTTTCTAAAAAACGTTCTCCAAGAGTTTTGACTAAAGGAATAGTGTTTACGAACAAAGGGAGTATAAAGTGTTTACTACCTATGCAAAATAAACATAACAAAAGCCCTAAAGCTTCATAAAGCCCTAAAGCCCCCTAGCTTTCATAAAACAAGTTAAATTTTTTTGCAAGAGTTACTAACATTAAGTTACATTTCTCAAAATGAAACTGATCAGGCTTTTATTACTCGTAAAATATCTAAATAAAAATAAACGACGGTGATGCATCTAATTTGGAAATTTTGTGAAAAACAGAAATGATTTCAATAGAAACGTCTGCCTTATTTATACCTGATTGTAAAATTTTTTGTGGAAGACAGTAATAATGACTTTTCCTTCAATATGTTCACTATATTACCGCTTTTTAGCTCAATTTTAAGATTATTAATTTTTTTTGAAATTTTACATAAATATAAATAATTGAAAATTAAATAGCTAATTTTTCTAACATTTCCTTAAAAAGAGGATAACTACGCTTGTGCAAAGCTTAAAATTAAGCGAAACAGATGTTTATTGGAGATTTTATATCAATTTCGACTGCGAACAGGCACATGTACTTCATCGAGAGAGAAACAAAAATCTTAGGCAGGTAATATCTGCTTTAGAGAAGATATCTCTACGAAGAGTTATTATTAAAAGAAAAATAGGTTCTGTTACAGAGCAAAACATTCTTATCAGATTCCCAGATACACTTTAGGGAAATTTGACGGAAACTTTTCGAAATGTCTATAGTAATATAGATTCTTCGTTTTTTAATTCCTTGTACGAATTAAAAAGGAAGTATTGTAATCGCGAAAAGCTTCAGGCAGCATATTTCAACGAAAATATCCACTTTGACCGCTTTCGAAGGCAATTTAACGATGTTTTTGCGTGATATCGATACGTAAGGACAGAATAAAAGTCTCTTTTCCTCCAAAAAACTAAAGAATTGCTTTAAAATGATTTCTGAAGAGAATTTTTCGTGTCGTCTGTACGAACGTATGTACGTACGTGCGTACGAAAGTATGTACCTACGTAAGTGCGTACGTACGTATCTCGCATAACTCAAAAACGAGTAGCCTCAGAACGTTGAAATTTTGTATATAAGACTACTATAACATGTAGATGTGCACCTCGTATTTTGGTTACAATCGGCCGCGCCAAACGTATATAACGATATTTATAAATATATCCACTCTGTTACCCGGTTCAGTGATCTCAGTTTCTTTACTCTTATAGGTTTGTAAATTGTACATTTTTTGCTTTAAAAATGATTAAATTATGTTGTTTTTATCTTCCGGTTAAAGCTTTTATGCCTTTCATAATTCTGGAAGCAATATTTGTACAATTATCAACAATTTAAAAGCTGTTTAAGTGCGGTTAAGTTTTAAATAACATGGCGGACATATTTGTTTACATTTGAAACAGCAGAATTGTAGATTTGTTGCCAATCTAGAGAGACTAAGCTTCGCAACACAAAAATAACGCCTTCATTTATTATTGCGAATTAAATCATGCTTAATCCTTTCTGGAATTTTTTCGAGGAAATAAGTATTTAAGATTTACTTCGTAGTTTTTAATACAGATATTTTGAGTTTTTATGTATTTTTGCCTTGTCGCGAAGTGAAAACTGAATTAATTGAATGAGAAATACTCAATCGTCTGTGAAAAACTGTTTCGTTTTCGTTTTGTTTGCTTAATTTCTTTTATACATCGTTCTAGCTTTGTTATAGTATTTGAATAGAACATGTGGCAATGATTAGATAATTCTTTAAATGATATAAATTTTGTGCATTCTGAGTTATAATATGAACGAAATATAATACTGTTAAGTAAACCTATCGCCAGAGTGTCGCTATGGTAAACAAAGTGAATTTTAAAGAATGCATTTATTCTATTGTGGTTTATGCGCTGTCGGCGAAGTAGGTTTAATTCAATCTAATAAGTTAAATGAAACGCAAGAAAAAATGTGTATAATTTAATATTCCGTACAAGGAAGTCATGTGGTGTACACATCAGATTTTTTCAAATATGTAATTAGGAGACTTTTCCATTAATATCTTTTTAATTATTCTTTAAAATTAAAAAAAAATGTATGTCAAATTTTTGTCATTTATTTATTTTCATAGCGAAATTTAACTTATGGAAATTATTTCAAAAACGAAATAAGACGTGGAATTATATTTTGATTGAAAATGCTTTGTCATGTAGGATTAATTAATTTTTTTGCTTTTAATTTAATAAAAAGAATTTTTTCTCCTGATGAAAAAAGAACCTGTGCCTAGCTGACCTCGAAATCGCCAATTTTTCTCATCCCTAACTATTTTTTCTAAATCTGGTTCGACTTTTCAATCAATAAGGTTCAGCTTTTCTTCGATTCAAAAGACGATGGGAATGCACAAGATCCCGGATTCTGGCAACATTTTCATCAACTGCAAACAGTCTCTTATAAAAAATCGCCTTCTATCGATTCCGTTTCTTCTGAAAATGTCTTAAACTCTTTGACGAAGCATTGTCTCCACAGACCTGCTGAAGCAGTGCAAATTTTCCGTCACACTGTGTGCAAGTCTGAAACGAAATCTGATAGCGCTCGAAATTGATGTCACTCATTTTAATAAAGCACTAGGAAAAAAATAGCTTACAAAAATAAATCATAAAAAAAAACTCAGGTGTACCTCAACCGCTTGATTGGCACGGTGACTAGCTGAAACTGCGCTTGCATTGATGGTAGAGAGTGCTCACACATTTTAGAATGATTTCAGTTAATCTATACTATTAAAATCTGTGCGCGTCTGTCTCTTGGTTTGTTTGTGGCATTATCTCCTCCGGAACGGCGAGGAATAGAGCTTCGAGAGCGGTACCACCCCCAGATTCCAAAAATTCGTGGGAAATCATTTCGAACATTCTCATCTTCGTACGATCTTAGTTAGCAGAGATATTAATTAAAAACTCTGAAAACGCTAATATTCGCCCTCGTGTTTTTTCGAGTGGCAGCAATCTCGCTCGCTGGAGATAAAAATCTGCTTTATTTCCAAAAGGGTTGCCGCTGCTCGCTTTCAAATCGTAGAGTTTGCTAATAAAAATACTTGTAACTTTTATAAAAATGAAATAAAAACAGCATTTTCAAAATTTAAACATATTATTATTTTACAATTTAAAGAAAAAATCTGAAAGTTTTCAGATTTTTGCGTTACCTTTAGTTATTAAATATCGTGTTCTTTGCACTTAAATCATAAAATTCAATTCAACAGCAATATCCCAAAACAATTTTAAAATGAGCATATCTTTAGAATTTCCCATACTCAGTCACGCGCGCTGGAGATAAAAGAAAAATTTTCCGTACAGTGTTGCCATTGCTCGCTTTGAAATTGTTGAGTTTCTTAATCAAAAAATTCTTCAAAGTGTTAGAAAATATGAAATAGATAAAAAAAAAATTAAAAGATCTGAAAGGTTTCAGATTTTAAATTTCGTCCAAAAGAGAACAAACGTGTGACACACAAACGTGAACAACACACAAAACGTGTGTTACTTTTATTTATTAAATATCATGTTCTTTGCACTTAAACCATAAAATTCAGTTCAACAGCAATGTCGCAAAATAATTTTAAAATGAGCATATCTCTAGAATTTCCGATACACAGTTCCACGCGCTGCAGATAAAAAGGTTATTTTTTTTTCTTTTTTTTCCACGTAGAGTGTTCCCATTGCTCATTTTGAAATCCTTGAGTTTGTTAATCAAAAATTCGTCAACGTTTTACAAAATATGAAATCGACAATAAAACTAATTCCAAATTTCAAATTTCCTCTTCCACATACCCATATTCGTAGGAGGATTACGTCATTCAAAATTCGATGGCTCTATGTACCGTTGTTTTATCCCAATGCGAGAAATATGCATACATTTTTG